AGCCCCGCCCCCCCCCCCTTGCTAATTCTGAGAAATTCACATCTCTGTCCTGACACCAGGCCTCCTTGCAGACCCAGGTCTAGGTTCTCCTTGCACTTTGAAGCCCAAATGTGTTTCTATCCCTGGGCCCTCCTACAGCACACACTCCTTTGTTTTCCCAGGGTGTTTTTTCGGTGGTACTTAAGTGGCAACTAACAAGGGTGTCTGCCCTGATTTGATATGCGTCCTTGAAATAAAGAATATATTTCGGTTAGTTCTGGATATTCTCTCTCTCTCTCTCTCTCTCTGACGAGGTCACTGCTCACCTAGGGAGGAGGACAGAGAGAATATCCCACAAATGCTTAGCAAGTGGTGACAGGAAGGACACAAGCTATTTAGGGGGCTGTTTATTGAGGCCTTTGGGGAGCACCAGCTCAGACCCTTCTCTGTTCTCTAGCAGATTCCTTGACATTTCCATCTATAGAAAATACCCTAGGTACTATGTGGTACCCCCTCCAAAAGAAAGAAAGAAAGAAAGAAAACCCAATCACTTTCTTCCCCAAGACTTTCTCCCTTTCGGAAATAGCATCTATATCCTTCAAGCAGTTCAGTGCAGAAACCATTGGGCCTACACCCCTAGCCCCTCATTGAAGCATTCTAGGCAGGAGCTCTACTACTGAGCAATACCCCAGCCACTCACTGGAACATTTTATTTAGGATTCTACCACTAAGTTACACCCCCATTCCCTGCCGCTAGGCAGTGTCTCTAGCAGTGGTCCACGCTGTGAATTCTAGACAGGTATTGCACATGTGAGCTACATGCCTAGTCTGTTTTTTTACTATGTATGTGTGGTTACGTTTGTGGACATGCATGTGCATGTGGAGGCCAGAGGTCAGTGTCAAGTGACATTCTTCAGACAGGATCTGAGGAGTGTCTTGGTGACAGGGTTTCTCAGTGGCTAGGACTTGCTTGATTAGGCTAGCTGGCCATCAAGCCCCAAGATTCACCATGTCACCAGCCCTAAAATTACAACTGAATGCTTTTTACACCCAGTTTCTGGGAATGGACTCAGACCCCTACTAGTTGCCAGTGTGGTTTTTTAAGTGTGTCACAATGGGTTACTTCTCTACCCTAAACCCATCGCTGGCTTCTGTTCTCACTGGAATCAAATCTAATTCCTTGTTAAAACTTCCAAAGCTCCACACATTCTGGCCCTTGTTGGTTATTTGGAAGCTTGAGGGGGGATTTGGGGGGGGCGGGACCTTGGCCGATTCCATGGCAGGCAAAGATGATAGAGGCAGGGGACAAACATGCTGGGCAGACAGAACTTACAAGTATTATAGAAAGGGGAGGGAGGGGGAAGGAAAGAAAAAAGAGGACACAGAGAGGACAGAAGAGAAAAGGGAAACAGAGGGAAAGAGAAAGGGAAGAGAGAGGAGCAGGAAAGAGAGCGCAAGTGGGTGGGGGTCTTTCTTTTAAAAGGGTCCTTTGCACCTGCACACAAACTGTGCAATCATGGACCCCTGGGCTCACCACGGTACTGCCTGAGTTCATTCTGACAAGAAAGACCAGCATAATGCTTGAATCCTTCCTAACACTGGTTTACCTAGTTGTGTCTACCAAACAAGGAAGAGAGCTTTCCAACCTGTCCTGCAGTTCCTGTACCTCCCGGTGGCATCACTTACGATGCTGCATGTTCCTTATTTACAGTGATGTGTTTCTTTCCCCCCTCTCCTCATCACCTCCTTCCTCTGCCGCTCCCTTTCTCATTTCCACTGGTTACGTCAGCCCAGTAAATGGTCATGACAACCACACTGTTTTATTGTGTAGTTTTTATCTCCTCTCTTCTCTTGCTTGTTACTTTTCAGCTCAGGTGGCTTCAGCTTTGGTCCCCTGAACTTTGAGAGCACTTTTCCATGTCTGAACATTCATCAGTGCTCTTCCGTGGTCTTGAGATGACTTCCCTTTGACCTTCATGAACTCACTTCCTGCCCTTTGCACAGGCTACAGCCCACAATTCCTTTTTTCTGACTAGTTCCTGCTCCTGATGCAGTCCGTGTCATCCTGTGTACCGCACCCCCACCCCGAGGCTCCCATGTTCCATGTAGGCATGGTAGATGGCTAGTTTTTTAGATTAAGTCTCCTGTAGCCTACGATCACCTAAAACTCAGATAACCTTGAACTTTTGATCCTCCTGCCTCCAAGTGCTGGTAAGACCGATGTGCACTGCTGGTCCCAGTTTTATGCAGTTCTGGAGGCAGAACGGAATGCTTTGTGTCTGTTAGGTGTGTACTATTCCAAATACATACACACATACATACATAATTACATAATTACATTATAGACATGATTAATTATTAAGCACTTACCAGCTCTGATGATAGAAAAGGCTAAGTCTTCTCATCTTCTAAATATGGCTTGCTTAGACTTGCTAGCGACAAGCCCCTATCTCACTAGTGTCACTCCTTCCATTAACTGTTCTTTCTTTTCGTTTTTTTTTTTTTTTTTTTTTTTTTTTTTTTTTTTTTTTGTTTTTTTTTTTTTTTGAGTGTGCTCTATTGCACGTGCGTGTGGATTCGAGCAGTGATTGGTATCAGGTGTCTTCCTCAATTGATACCCACCTTATAATTTGAGACAGGGTCTCTCTCTCTGTATCCGGAGCTTTTTATTAGGCCAGATGGGCCTCCCAGTACTTCTCAGGCATACTGCTGGCTCTGCCTCCACGGGCCTAGGATTACGGGTGCCAATATTCCTAGTTGGTGGTTATCTGGGCTCAGGTCCTCCTGCTTGCACTGAGTGAGCTATTTTCCAAACCCCTGTATTTCTTATGTCCTGAACAGTAAACAAGAAATTAAGTAAAACACTGTGTTGGAAAAATAAGGGAGATTTTGGAATCCTGTGTGAGAAACAGTAGCATTCAGCTCCCAAGACAGTTTGACTGGGGAGCTGACATTGGAGGAAGGCTGGAAAGTGCAAGCTGTGTACATGGTTGTGAGCAGCAGTTGCAAGTATGTAGGGGACTGAAACATAGTTTTAGGAAATGAACATACTGTGAGGTCAGAGAGCCCGGAGGGAGAGGGAAAGGCGGGGCAGGTTGTGTAGGATATTTCCCATTGGAAGGTTTCAGTTTTCCTTTGCCTTGAGGAGTCACCAACAGTTTCTGAATGTAGTAGTTAATTTTCTGTTGCTATGTTAGCTTGTTTTTTTTTTTTTTTTTTTTTTTTTTTTTTTTTTTTTTTTTGGGTTTGTCTGTGGCTTTTGGAGGCTGTCCTGGAACTAGCTCTTGTAGACCAGGCTGGTCTCGAACTCACAGAGATCTGCCTGCCTCTGCCTCCCGAGTGCTGGGATTAAAGGCGTGCGCCACCAACGTCCGGCTCTGTTGCTATGATAAAGCACGAACAAAAGCAACTTACAGAAGAAAGAGTTCATTTTAGCTTACAGTTCCAAAGGGATAGGCTGTGATGACAAGGGGACATATGGCAGCAGGTAGCTAAGAGATCCCGTCTCAATGCGTAGAGGAAGCCAAGGGAGCCAGCTGGAAGGAAGGGTGAAGCAGCTATATGTTCAGGAAGGCCATCCACAGTGACAAGCATCCTCCAGCAAGTTCCATTCCCCCCCACACACACAAACAGCACCACCAACAGAATAAGGGAGCCAAGACGTGTG